GGCAAGTGGGGCAAGATTGCATGCCAATCTCCAAACTCTCATATCTCGTTGTCGTTGAATTGCTTAATTATTCAGTTTCGATCGCGCGCGTGCGTCGCTTTTTCGAAACGTGCCGTCAAGCAGGTATGGAAGGAGGTCCATGAGGTCCTGCAAAACACAGTGCATGAGGCAGGGTTACGAGGGTTTCGGTTCCGAGCGGGTCAAGGCCCACTCTTTCGTCGAGATGTCCGTTTTGCTGTTTTGGGGTGGGTCCCAGGGTAGGGGGTAGGGGGTCGGGAAGGGGGGGTAGGGGGGTTGCGGCGCTCGAGCCCAACAGCTGGGTCGGCGTGTATGTGTATATATATACATTATGTACACTACGCACATTCTATGAGCAGATACTATCTGTATGAATATATAAACGCTACATATATGTGTATGTAAATATACGCACATGGAGAGAGAGAGAGAGATACATATATNNTATATATATATATATATGAATGTAGGAACAGTGTGTGTATATATATATATATATATGCATATGCATATGTATATATATATATATACACATACGGGTAGAAATGCATATGCAGACATACATGCAGACATACATACATACATACATACAAACATACATACATACAGACAGACAGACAGACAGACAGACAGACAGACATACATATGCATGTACATATACGCGTGCACATACACGTATACATACATGTACATACATACATGTACATATATATATATATAGACACATACTCGCTATCTCGCCCTATGTATATATATATATATAGATTTATGTTTATAATATATATATATATATGTGTGTGTGTGTATGTATATATATATATATATGTATATGTATGTATGTCTTGTATGTGCATACATATATGTATATATACACATTCAATCGGTATATATATATATATAGATAGAGAGAGAGAGAGAGAGAGCAAACCTTATCGCAGTCCCTTCAAAGCCCCAGAACACGTGGGGACCCGTCCCTCATGCCCAGTGGAAGAGAGAGAGAGAGAGAGATGTAACCTGCAGGGGCAAATCCCCTTTCGGAGACCTCCGCTTGAGTCATCTTTCGGATCTTGTTGCCTTTCGCCTTGATCGAGGTGTTAGGCGAGTTTACCTTGTTGTTTGAGCGCATGATGACAGGCTGCGGAAGTTCCCTCGTTAGTGCATGCAAATCCTGCCGCCCGGTCCACAACGGTCGGGGGCGCTTACAGCGCGCGGGCAAGGGGAGCTTCCCCTTGTCCACAGCCCTGGCGAAAGAAAGAGACTAACCCTGGCGAAAGAAAGAAGAGAGAGAAAGAGAGGGGTCATGCCCCTACACCATAACCCTGGCGAAAGAAAGAGAGAGAGAGAGAAACAGGTTCCATTGGGCCAAATGGGCCTGAAGTATGACATGCCCTTTGTGACATGATTCATTCGACAGCACAATTCACGAAAAGTTGCCGCAAGCTGTGTGAGCAAAACACACCCTTTCATCGGAGACGAGGATTGGCCCAGCTGAGCACTGTCTCTTGGAAATGACTGGTAGTGCTGAACATGACAACCTGCAGTGGGGCATGCTGCTTTGAGTGCGCATGGCGGAGTGCATGTTGTGCCTGCAGTGTAAGGAAAGTCTGAGAGCTGGGCGTCCGGCCGTTTATCATGCCTTGGGTGTCAAGCAGTATCCCGAAATTTCAGCCAAGCCTACCAGCGAACGTCGATTGGCGTTCTGGGGTAACCAAGCTGGTAGAGCGATTTGGGGCTCGGCCTGCTTCACATCGTTAGCTTGCTCGAGGCGGTTCGTACGGGCCAGGAGACTACGGAGATTGGCTGGTGAATGGTCTGCCGGAGAACAGGACAGCAGAGAATTCCAGTCCGAAGAGGAATATTTGGAGGCACTCGAAGCCGACGCCGACTTGCCAAAAGGCTTCGGAATTGCATCAAGCAGTTTGACTTTCGTTCCCGAGGAAGCCCAGGAAATGGGGGAGCTCCCTATGCGAATAACTGTAATCCACGTTGACGAACCCAGTGACATGGTCGCAGCAGTTTTCACACAGAATGCATTTCCGGGTGCTCCCGTTCGTGTTGGACGTCGCCGGTTGTCAGAAAGAGAGCATCTTCAAGCTATAGTTGTGAACAACAAAATCAGCAACGTCTCCCCTCCAGATGCAGATGGAGGCGTAGCAGCAAGCGAAGAGTTGTGCACTGAGCTAGCAAAGAAGCTAAAGCTACCGGGTGCGACGGCAGTCCTGCCAAGTTCGACAGGGGTGATTGGCTGGAGGCTACCCGTCACGGAGATGGTGCAGGCTCTTCCATCCTCAGAGATGCTGAAAAAAGGCAGCGCAGTTCCGGCCGCTCGTGGAATCATGACTACGGATCGTTACCCTAAGCTCTCGGCAAAGACCTTCGACGGTGGAGCAAGGTTGGTTGGTATAGCCAAAGGCGCTGGAATGATTGAGCCGAACATGGCGACGATGCTCAGCTTTTTGATGACAGATGCGAGCTTTGACCGGGCTGAGCTACAAAAGATGCTGGAGGAATGCGTGGCAACCAGCTTCAATGCCATTTCAGTCGACGGAGATGAGTCTACGAGCGACACGGTTGTTTTGATTTCCAGCGGGCAAGCGGAGGAGGAAGTCAGCAAGGAGGCATTCAAGGCAGCCCTACAAGAGGTTTGCTGCGATTTGGCAGCTCAGGTAGTGCGCAATGGAGAAGGAACCCAGCATGTCATACGCGCGAGCATCAGCGGTGCTGACACTGACGACACTGCAAGAAGGATTGGAAAAGCAGTAGTGAACGGGCCCCTGTTCAAGTCGGCTGTTGCCGGCAATGATCCCAATGTGGGGCGCTTGATCGGCAAGGTGGGGCAAGCTTTGGGGGCTGCGGGTGCACAGATGGCACAGGACTGCGTGTGCAAGATCGGTGGGGAGACCATCTTCGAGAAAGGCCAGTTCAGGCTTGATACTGCAAAGGAGAAGCGGCTGAGCAGCCACTTGAAATTTGCCGAAGCTGACTGATGCTTGCTCTGCAGTTTTGTGCGACTTTCGTGCTGTAGCTCGTTCAATTTCTTAGTAGACGCCAGCTCAAGTGGGGATGTCGCAGACAAAGGTCAGCTACCTTACCCGCAGCACCGGCGAGTGGTTGACGTGGAAGTAGTCTTGGGAGCAGGAAGTGGGAAAGCCGTTGCCCCTGCGAATGCAATCGTTACCATACATGTCGACGAAACAAAATCAGAAAACAGTGGACCAAACAAGCTTCTTGCGAACCATTCGTGCTCCAAAGTTCAAGACAGTTCATGGTAAGTTAATGGTAAGTGACTACCTGGGCTCGTCAAGCATCTCCTGGTGGCTAGGTTCTGGGATCTGACTTGACCACCGAGTATGTGAAGATCAATGCAGACTACCGCTCATGAGGGCCAGACTGGGCGATCAGGAGCCATGCCGACACGAAATGCCCAGCGAAGAGGCTTCTGCATCTGGCGAGGTCTTCTAAGTGGACGTGCATGTCGGGATCCATGCCAAGACTGAGAAGCAAGCAGGTGCAAGTCTGAAGCCGAAGAAAAGCCGTTCCAGTAGCCACGAGGCTGTCAGGAGCAAGGACCGCTGCTGAAAAAAATCCGCTTGACGTGCTCTGCATGAGCGAATCCTTTGCTCACGAGACCACTGAGCCATTTTGGCATCCAGGCTAGGAATCCAGCTGATTTGGACAACAGACTTCCAGCAGGCCCGGAGCCCAGACTGTCCAACTCGAACGTTACGGGACACCTACCTGATCCAGGGTGCTCCACACTTTGCTGAATCAAGGGAATGTTCACCAAATAGCTCTTTACTACGGTTTCTGCAGGACTACGGGTTTCAAACCCGCAGTATAAAGGGATCTTGTAGAGCAATCGGCTCTTCGAACAGCGTGCGCTGTGGTGCCGCTGAAAGTTTGGGCCGACAGGGAACGTTAATCGGACAGCGGCCGCTGCACAGGGAATACCCAAAGGTCGTCCTTCATTCGCAGGCGCAGCGCTTTTTGATATCTTAACTTTGGTGGGGGAACTTCACAATCGAGGCGTGATGTGTTAGCTCATATGCTGCGGCGAGCAGCTATTGAACAACCCTGCCGAGGAATCTTTGACAAGCAAGCTAGGGCCTGGGTTTCCGCCGTGCCCGGGTCGTGCTCTCAACTCTCAACGCTGTCGTGAAGGACGCAGGTGGTGCTCTGTTCATGTTCTGGAAGTCGGTTCCAGCAGAACACAAGCAGTCGTGAAAGCTGGTCTTTTTTTCAGCGCAAATCTAGTCGGCTTGTCCTCGAATGGCCTCACAGTCCTTGAGCGCTCTTGCAGTGATCTTGGTGTCGTTGCTCGCTATCTGGGGTCGGTACGGGCTAAATATTCGGTACGAGGAGATCGACTCGGCACAGACGCTTGATAAACAAATTCCATGTTATATATATATATATATATATATATATATATTCTATGCCTTCGAGGATGCAGGCTACGGAATGCAGCAATACAATTCCTGCATCACGCATCCATCCAGTCCTGCAAAATCACCATCAGGCATGCAGCTGGGACCCGTTTATCGTGTGCCGATCTGAGGCGTTGACAACCTTGGCACGAGAGAAGGCGCGTTTGACATGTCATTGCATGGCATCTCCTACAGATTTTGAGTGCAGACGCTGCGTATGACACCTTGGACCCGTGGAAGAAAGCAGAGCACACTCCCTCAGATCTGAAGGACAAGACGGTCATGACGTCTACCCGGAACAAGTCGTTCGGCGGCACGGGTTCGCAAGATTTTGCGAGCACAGGGCGGAAGAAGCTTTCTGTTTTGAGAATTTCAGTGAGAATTCACGGACCTGTCGCGTACTTCACCGTCCACTCCCGAGGCTTCGGGCCTGTTGCAAAGACATGCAAGATGCGTGAATTTTTGCGTCAGTCAGAAAGGTCGTGTATTCAGGTAATACATTCCTAGTTTAAGCATGCATCCGATTGCTTCCGAGGTCAAGGAATCTGATGGGTGACAGAGATGTCGTTCAGGTGATGATGTACTCCGGTCTGTACCCGCCATGTCGCATCAGGAAGCAGTAGTGATGCTAACAAACCTGAGGAATCTTGCGGCCGAAGCACTGCGAGAATGCACCCGCAGCAAATGCCACAGTCAGTGAACCCACCTTCGTTCCGACTCCGCTCATGAAGGTTGCCCTTTGGAACTGCAGAGCACGGAGACGGAACTCCGTGTAGAAGATGCGAAGGACCATGGCCTTGTGGTCACAAACCACTAAGGCGTACCACAACTCGGAGGTGGACTGTGTGAAATAGCTGGTCGTCTTGACAGAATTTGCAGAACTACGAAGCCTGGTCAAAGCCACGAGATCGGAGCTCAACATGCCAGCAGCAAGGACATGTTCACAACAGAGCATGGGTCAAGGCATTAACCGTGCACGGCGCTCCGAGATTCTCAAAACACCGGCAAAGCCACAGACCGCTTGAAAGTTTCGATATGTGTCAAAGAAAGGCTGTGCGTGAGGGACCTGAGTTTCAGGTTCGGGCAGCTGCTGACGGACCTCATCCAAGTTTGCCTGCAGGGCGACCTGTCCAAGTGCGACACCCACGGTTGCCACAAGGAAGGAGGCCCAGTCCTCACGACTTGTGCCGATCAGGCTGAGGCGCATCAAATACGAAACACTTGTTGGGACCTCGGTTCTTGCTTCATGGGGCCACCAGAAAATCCCTGCACTGAAAGCCGAACCTCGCAGGCGTTCTGTGCGCTGCGAAACACTTCAGGTGACGATCCATGTCCATCAAAAAGACCTTTTCATGGAGGCCCAGGGAGCTGCAAAACTCCAAGCATCTTGTTCCTTTCGGTTTGAGGTCATGAAGAAGCCAAAGGACATGAAGGTGAAAGACGAGAATGATTTCGAATGGCTGAAACAGTTTCTGCCTTGCCTTGTGTATAAGATTCAGATACGAGCACTGTTTGTCTGAACTTTCGTTCTTTGCTTTCAAGGACACGGATGTATTGGCGCACGGAGAACGACCACGCTGTTATCTCCATTGCTGATGTCGACTTCGCCTCGGCCTAAGTGCAAGAAGCATCGCACACCACTGCATCACTGATCTCTCACTCCGCCAGATCTACTCCTACGAATACCTGGGATGTAAGGAGCGGACCCGGCCCAAGGAGAGAGGAGATTTAAGAGCAGGGCGGAACGCGTACAAGCACGAGGGTTACGACGAGCCTGAGGCTGGTCATCACGGCCCTGACCGACCGATGTTACTTGACGCAGTGCTGCTCCAAGTCCGAGCACAATCATCCTTCGTAGTACTGGGTGGCACCGAGTCCTGGTTGGGGGAAGGGAAGGTCTAGACGAGACAAGCAGGGTGTAGGACTTGGAGTAGGACGATTAAAGCTGCTCACCCGCTGCAAGCCAGGCTGCAACCTGAGTCTTTAGCAGAGGTCACAAGCTTTGGGGATGTTCTTCGGCGGTGCGTGGGATGCTGAGAACTTTCTTCGAACTGATCTATGCTCAACGGATCTCTACCGGAAAAGCTTGATACAATGAGGCCAGCTGGTCCAGCCGGAACGGGGAAGACAGAGACAACGAAGGACGCGATTGCTGCTGACATGCCTTTGTCACTTTCGTCCCAATCAGTCGGCCTTAGTTTCAACTGCGGCTGCTGCTGCAGAGGACATGGGCCGGACATTGGGCATCTTCGTGGTGGTGACGAACTGCTCCGTGCGCCTACCGTTTTGCTCACTCAGACATGTATTGCATCAGCTTTTTCCAGGACCAACACCGCTTCAAGGATATGGCGAAGATCTTCAAAGGCTTATGTGCAGCACTCAGTGCGTTAGCTTGGCAGCTTTGTTCGCCAGGAGTTCCTACGCTCCGTTGCTGGCTCTATATTCCAGCGGATAGCAAGGTGTGCAAGTCGAGAATCTGGTGGGAATCTAGTGGTACTTAATGGCGACATGTAAGAAGGCGGTACAACATCAGCCGGTGCAATTTCGACCTCTGCGAATGCGGTACTGTAACAAGTTCCGGTTGCGGGTTCGTGCAGGGCGAGCCATGCCGCAGCGCGACTTGGGCCTTTGCCCATGCCTGGCCCTGGCGAGCCGGCGGTCGCCGAGCATCGTCAGACCGCCCATGAAACTGCCCGCTTCACAGCCTGGCCCTGGCCACTTCAGTATCGGCAGCTTCAACATTCTCACGCCGCGGTTTGCAGATGTAGACTACTATCCTTATGTGCCACACGTCTTCCGGCAGTGGGCTTATCGAAAACCCTTGATCATTGAGCGACTGTTGTCTCTAGACGTTGATGTTCTGTGCTGTCAAGAAGCAGCAGGAGAAGACCGGTCACTGTTCGACGCTTTGGCACTCTCAGGGTACGAGGCGGTTGCACCTACAGAGCCACGAAAGGGAATCGAGAAGCCTGTGACGTTCGTGAGAACAAGCAAATTCACAGTGGTGACGGTGGAGCATCGCTCTCGAGCAAGCTTGCTGGCACTGCGCGAGGTTTGTAGCGATGAAGGTGAAGTGGTCGCGGGTTCTACGCCACTGACACTGTTCGTGGCGAACGTCCACTTGCAGGGTGAGCCTACAGCACAGGATGCGCGTCGGTCTCAGCTGGAGTCTGTCTGCAGGCGCTTTCGCAAGCTGAGACAAGATCTTGGCGTCGATACGAAATCAAGCTGCGCGGTGATCGTCGGAGACTTCAACGAGCCGGCGGGTACCCGGCTGCATGGCGAGCTTCAGATGCTTGAAACCAAAGATGCCGAGGATGGCTCTGGCTATCCGTTTCCTCGAAGACATGAGAGCTGGAAGTTCCTGGATGCCTACTCTGACCTACCTGTACCACCGGCCACCTTCCGAGCTGAGGGACGGCATGACCGCATAGACTTCATTTATCACAGCAGCAACTTGCAGCTTGGCACCCTTAGGTGGCCTCTGTCTGCTGAAGAGGAAGAGAGGCTTGGCTGGTCTTTTGGATGGCCACCCTGGCCGGACAAGCTACCATCTGCATGGTTCCCCTCAGACCATGTGCCTTTGGCAGCTGCCTTTGTGAGCACTACTTCCAAGCCGTGTGCAGAAGACTGAGAAAAAAGCCTTCGGACCGGCAGAGTAAGTTCGTTCGTTGACGTTTGTTGACGAGTCCGCCTTCTGAGGCATGAGTGGCCTCTGGGGGTGCTTTGACGAGTTCAATCGCATCGAGCTGGAAGTTTTGAGCGTGGTGGCCACCCAAATCGAATCCATCATGCAGGCAGGCTGGAAGCCACCAACGCATACGAATGTCTTGTTCGATCGGTCTGTGCTTCAGGCAAAGAAGCAGAATGCCAAGACTTTCCTCTTCCCGGGTGAGCCCTATCCAATCAAGCTCGTGGCGTCCCAACCCTTACCGGGTCATGAGACTACATGCGGAATCATGAAATATCATGCGCAGATCGTGCTGCTCCAGGTCGGTGGGCTATTTCATCACCATGAACCCAGGTTACGCCAAGGGCCGAGACAAGATGAGGATGTGCCGAACTGCACACTTAAGAGCCAAGGCTGGGCGGCAAGAGTTGCCAGAAAATCTGAAGGTCTTGTTCCGGGGTGTGGGGGCCCTGTCGCTGCGAATGGCAGACCTCAGTCTCTAAGTCGCAACTTTCCAGGTCTCCATGATGGTACCGCCCCGGCCTCAAATCAGCACCCTTTTTCAGCCTTGTGAGCCTTACCAGATGCATGAAACATCCCGTGCGGGCTCAAGCAATGCAGGTGGGAGTGGCAAGCAGCCCCCAAACATGTACAACACTTGCACAACAAACTCCCGCGAGCAAAAGCAAGGAGTAAACACCTTCGTAAATCGTCGTCGGCCGTCCGTGAAATCTCATGGTGACATGCAGTGGTTGCTTACGCCCGGATGCTCCCACGCGCTGCAGTCGATGCTTTGAACGCTTTTGTGGTCCCGAGTGTCAGCGGAAAGCCTGGCCGGTTCACAGGCTTCGATGCTCCTTGAAGGCAGGTAACGGTAAGAGTGTGCTGCATGCGCAAGGTTCGGTACATCAGCAGAGCAAGGGCAAGGAATGCTTCGGCCAAAGCGTGCCACGACATTTGGATAGACAGTCATTCCACGCGGCACCGCCTGAGCCGTCAATTCCGATCCCAGAAGCTTTGCGCATGATTCGGGAACTGGCTGAGTCACAGAACTTGCTGGATGCGGTGGGCACAGGGTTGCAGGCTCGTTTGGAGGGGTCGGCGAGAGCTGCGCCAGAGTCCGAAGATGATGTTACGCTTCAAAAAGTGGTGGATGTGCTGTGGCAGAAGTGCGGCTGGGAGCCTCACATGCAAGAGAAGCACGAGTATAGCCTTTTGCACCCTCTCCCTGAAAGTCGGGCAGCCGAAAGAAGCGTCCCGCTCAACCTCGCAAAAGCGGCGACCTGCTTCCGAAGCGTCGCAGGAGAGACCACAGCAGAGAAGGCGGCTCCTCCAAGACATGATCCGGAGCTGATCGGGCACCAGTGCCCCGTTGTAGATGCGAAGGGCTGCTTATCACCTGAAGTCAGGGAGCAGCTGAAGCCATTTTTGAACCCCTCTTCACCATACCCTTGCATAGTTCGGAACCTGCCTATATTCAATCGAGCTGTGGACCGGTGGGACGTGGATTATCTATATGAGCACATGGGTACGCAGCTTTACCATACCTTCGCTTCTTCTCAGAATGCGAAGCGCTTTGCCTATTCCTTCGAGTGCCGCAACGAGGGAGGTTATGAGCCAAGTACAATTGCGGAGGCTTGCAAGATGACTTTTCAAGACTTTGTGCATAAGCAGCAAGTTAACGAAGATGGAAAATCATATTACTTGCAAACACCAGTGTTGCGATACGAAGGTGGCATAGTTACCTCTGCCAAATTCGACGATGTTCTTGAAGCGGACTTGCATACCATGAACAGACAGTTGGTCCATGAGATTGCTCAAATGGGTTGTTTCGGCGAGCTTTCACGAAACCAGCTGTTTGTTAGCTATTCCAACTTCTTGACCGCAGCACACTACGATCAGCAGCACAATTTGTACTTGCAGCTGAGAGGCTGCAAACGTTTCTTGCTCTTCGATGTGACCTGTGCAGAATGCCTGTATCCATACCCGGTTCATCATTCACTTGACCGCAAGGCTCGTGTCGATTTGGAGAATCTCGATTTGAATCGGTGGCCACGTGCGGGTGGATTGAAAGGTCGGGGAGTGGATGCCATGCTCTTGCCCGGCGACCTTCTGTTCCTGCCCATGAGTTGGTTTCATCACGTGCACAGTGTTGGTCAGGAGAATGTGTCTCTCAACTGGTGGTTTTATGATTCTGGTGTCCTGTTCAGCCCGGCCAAGGTTCGCTGGCCTCTTTCAAGCATTTCTCTTCTGGAGCTGTCCCGGCACATTGAATATTTTATTGCAGAGCAGTTGGGGCCTTCACTCGTCGGGATGTTCACGAATTGGTGGCTTGGCTCTGGGCCTGGTCCACAGCAGAAGGTGCTGGCAGATCGCTGGCGAGTGGTGCGCAACTACATCCTGCGGCAGCTTCTCAAGCTGCCTCCAGTTTCCTCACAGTTCGTCTTGGCAGCTCTGGAGCCCAAGCGATGGAAAGGTCTCGACTCACAGCCCCAAGCTTTGAAGGCGTCGCAAGGCCTACGTGACCATCACCAAGTCCCAGAACTTCTTCAAGGCCTCGATGAGCTGGCCCTCGGTGTCTTCCACAGCCGCATGCCTGCGTTTGCCTATCGGGTGCTAGGCCGAGCTATCGACTGCATACCGCGCCAAAAGCTCCGGTTTTTTCTGGAATGTTGCGAGGAAGTCTTAGGAACACTCCGTGACTTCACCGACTGGGGCGCTACTGGTAGCCCCACAAAAGAAGAGAAACTCTTCAAGAAAGAGGAAGCTCGGAAGGCTCCTGTCGCCATTCTGCGAACCCTAGGCGAGCTGTGTGACTTAGCAGAGGCTCGCTACGTACGCGTGACGACGGTAGACAACGGCTTCTTTGCAAACTGGCTTCAGGTCCTTGATGCATGCTATTTCGCCACATGCAGGGTGGATCCTGACTGGGTAAGAACCGGAAAGGAACGTGAGTTCAACTATGGCGCTGTTGGGGAGGACGTGTTCCACAGTCTCTTCCAGCGATTACCCCAGAGCGACACCAAAACGTGCGAGACGATGACTCCGCGTTTCGATGTGACGCACAGATTCAACTTCCTCTTGGTGAACGTGTTTCGCGGACAGTTCCTTCGTGGACCCGGGGCATCAAAACGGCGAGCAGCATATGCGGAGGTGGCCGAAAGGTGTTTGCGGCCCCTCCCGGAAGTGCTGGAGTTGCGTGATCGGGTTCTTGCAATGGTGCAAGGGCGAGGTTTGCCTGGAGCTCAAGCATTGATTGGGGTTCACAAGCGTGTCGACAACCCCGGAACAGCTCGCATGCAGCTAGAGCAGCGCATGCTGTGCACTGAGTCCTATATAGATGCAGTGCGGAAGCTAATGCCTCAGTACAGCCGCGACGGTGTCCCTCCTATAATCCTGCTGGCAACCGATGATGAACCAGCAGTGGCTGCCTTCCGCATGGCCTTCGGATCACACCTAGTATGCAACGAACAAGCAAAGCGCTCAGTGGGAGGCATCAACGACATGCAGCTACCCAGGGAAGTTCATGGTCAGCCTACGCAACTGACCTTAGCAGATGCCAGAGACTGCTTGGTTGACGCGCTGCTGCTAGCGTCCTGTGATGCCATTATTCACGCTGATTCCAACGTCACCATTGCAGCAGGAATCATGAACCCATATTCTGATGTGTATCATGTTCGCGAGCTTTCCCTCACAGCTCAACTGGAGGGTCAGGCGTGGCCTGGCTACAGGCGCTGTGGCCTGCCGTTCTGAAAAAAAATCTGAGGACATGCAGCACATGCCAGGGCACGACTTTGCACGAGCGCGGGGGATTCAGTTGAACTTCAGTGATGAAACCCCGCAATACCTCGAGGAACCGTGAGACAATTATGCGGGTCAAGTTGGCCTCAGTATTTCGGCGGCAATTCGACAATGGCTCTGCTGCATTGCTGTTCCATGCTGTTACTCACAGGTCGGGTACGTGTACATGGACAATCTTGGCAAGAAGCGAAAGACTTAGCTCGTGCTGGCTGCTAGCTGCTAGCTGCGGTCTTGCGATCCAGAGCCATGCGCTTTAAGATGTAGTAGCTGCCAGATGCATCAAGACCTCACAGGTTCAACATCTTGTACGCACTTTGCGAGCAGCAGCTCAGTCCGGCTGGCATGTTTCCGCTGGCAGCATAATGCTTGATGACTGTGCAAGGCTCGGATGTGTATGCATTTCTGCTTACTTATGCGATGAGCTCGAGGCAAGCAGCGACACTACGATTTCGGGTTGAGGAACATCCTGAGTGTCCTCCGTCAGAGCGATCCTTAGTTGAGGGTTGGTGCAAGCAGTGGCAGTCAGACGGTGGCAGTTCTTCGCGACCCGTACTAGGTCTGGTGCCGTAAAAAGAGGCGAGTCAGCGGATGCTGAAGAGGAGATGCTGTTCATGCGTACAGCACCTTGGGTACAGTTCATAACAAGACCGGCTCAACACTCCTCTTCCTCAACTGTGCAAATTTCTGTTCGGGAGTAGCTTTGAGAGTTTGCTGGTCTGCTGGTAAACACAACATGCAGGCTATGAGCTGCTTAATGTCGAGCTTGTGGCTGGATCCCAGGTAAGGGACATGAACTTGTCAAAGCTGGTGGCTGACGATGCCAGAGACTTGATCTGCGGTGGCCCCTCGATGATCTGATTGCTGTGCCATCGGCAGCCGAAGCTTTCCTCTATTTCTTACGTCATGCAGGAGAAGCATGCGACTCACGTGCTTTTGCCCAGGTGCCTTTGTTTATGGCTCTGCTCAAGGATCTATTCCCCAAGGACGGGATTCGTCCTCGTGTCTTCGGTGTTAGGCATCCATAAGCCGAGGTGCACGATCCACCAAAGAAGACCTATGACAGCCTCGAGGCTGCCGTCAGCCTCTCGGATTGCTCTGTCAAATCGTTGGTGCAGCACCTGGATGAACCTAGGTCAATAAGCTGGCTGAAAAGGAACGGCTCTTCGGGAAGGACTGTGAGTGGGAACGCGGTCAGTCCCGCATGTTGTTGCTGGGTTCCTGCAGGACACTTGGCTGCTCAAGATCGTTCAGCTTTATGAGCTTTGCCCTTAGGATCCTGGATCCTGAGACAGCGGTGTCCCTCGAATTGCTGCCAGGGACGAGCTAAATAATGCTAAGGATTTCCTTGGTGCGGCACGGCTTCATGCTTGTAGGCCGCAGTTGAGCCGGCCGGCTGTAGACCGTAAACACACGACTTGCTTCGGATAGGCCCCACACTTTGCGGCAAGTCCCGCATCATGCAGACACTTACTACAGCCATGACGGAGGCAGGGACATGTCGGGAAAGGTGCAGCTTCTAGCATTGCAGCCGCCAAGGATTCCGAGAGGCCACTGCCGCACAAGCTACAAGTGATGAATCCCAAGGCTGAAGTGGGATCCGCTGATGTTTTTTGGACTTCGAGTCTTCGAGTTCCGACTAGCCACAAGGCAATCACTGATGCCCAGATGTACGGCGTCAAGGATGCCTCGAGTCGCCTCCTTGGTCACTTAGCGCCCCAGCGAGAGTGGCAGCTTGCAGAGTGGCCAAATCTCAGCGCAACACCCCAGGGCCCCGTCAATTTGTGGTTTCGTCTGTTTGCTTGAAAGTTTGTCTGTCTTGCGCGAGATGCGTGAGAACCAGTGCCTCGCAAATCAGCATTCATTAGATGGAGTGGGAGGGGGAAGCGCGACAAATAGCAAATCAAGGCATGAAGCTATGAACGACAAAATGATAACATGCACAAAGTTCCAGAATGTCACGTAAAAGCCAACGTAGTCCGCCGTATTGTGCTACAGGTGTTAAGCTTCAGGCCAGGGGCTGGCAAGTGGCTTCTGATGCCGTCTTTTCAGCCTGCGTGCTCAGCTCCTCATCATCGCTACATATCGCTACCTATTGGCTTGTAATTGAGAGCTTAGCTTTGCATGTAACGGGGACTCCCCGAATTCGGTCGAGTCTTTGATAGGACTCGAGCACGAACTGACTGTTATGGTAGGTACTTACTGAATGATACCTGATTGCTGACGGCATTCTTGACACAGGCACTGTTGATGCTTGTTTCAGGGTGCGGAAAATCCTGGGATGAGTGATGTGCCCCTTGACGGAAACAGGCAATCGTGGCAAAGTCCCAATCTGGTATTTGCGCGAAAGCATGAACCGTAGGCGATGAGTGGACACCCGGCGTGCCGGGCACCGGAGTTTCAGAAATGGGCTCTTGCAACCGCTTGGAGGATTGTTTCCAAGCATGATGCTGCAAAGGTTTGCCTCTATATGGCAGCAGCGCAACAATCGTGCACTCAAGTACCACACCTGGATTGTTTGTCGACCCCTCGGCCTGCAAGCAGTCATGTGGCCAGCAAGACTTCCGAAGCTGAGGCGACGGACCCATCGATGCAATCTGGATTGAGAACCTGAATACCGTCCTGGATGACAACAAGAGCCTTGGTTGCCTGTAACTGCTTAAACATTTATGTGAACATCAAATCTAAACGGGCATTAAGCGAATGCCAATCTGAAGCTCGTTAATACAGTAATTAGAGCCAGCCGGCTGACCTGCTGCCCCGATTCCCTTTCTCGCAGCTCGTTCCCTTTGAGTCCTTCTTTGTTTTGCTCTGCCATCCGCGTACTCCTCGAGCTGTTGATGCCTTTAGCTCTTGGTGTGGGTGGTGTTCGAGTGTTTATGTTGATTTTGCTTGCGCTATTATTAGTTTGTATCGTGTCCAACACTCGAGGTTTGGGTGCTGGAGTTGCGGTTTTCGCTAGATTTTGCAGATGTTTTTTGCTGTCGATGTCTTCATATGCCTTCATTTTTGACTTTCTCAGTCTTGCCTAACTTTCTTTGATTTGTCCCGTTCAAAACGCAGAGCACCCGTGGCCCAACCACGATCGCGTCCGTGATCCTACGTTCACGTGATTTAGGAATTGACCCGATGGGGTTCGGCTTACAGGACCATGTTTGGATCCCGCTGTAATGGGAGATTCGTCATATCACATGTGTCGTCGAGGGCATATAGGACGGAGATCTGATTTTGCCCGTAGGCCTGTCTCCTGTGGACTTTGCCGTAATCTTCGCTCAATCGGAAATCTGATTGGATCCGTTGAGGAAAACGGGCCAGTAATCTGGAGGAGTAGTCTTAATCTTTACGTAATATCAGGTACGAGATTTGGAGACAGGCGGCGAGAAGAAGAGAACGAACCAGAGGAACCACCAAACAAGTCCAAGGTCAGCTTGGGCAGGCGAGTACAGTTACAGAAGGAAGTGAGGAGGAAGAACCAAGCGAGATCGACTGCGAATTGTTGCAAAAGGCTTCACCCAAAGAACCACCAACCTCGCCCGCGGCGAGGAGAACAAAATAGGAGAGAGTCCAACCCTAAGTCTGAGGACAAGTGAAGAAACCCAGGAAAGACCAGCGGCTAAGCCAAGCTTGAAAATACACAGCTGCACTAGGTACCAGACCACCGCCTGGACCAAAGCACCAAACCCCAGGCCCAAACGAGACAGAAGGAGAGGTCGACCAGCTGCCGGGGCACTATATGGGACTTTTTCAAACTTTAAGCACAGATGAGCACGGTTTCGTGCTTGCCCGCAACAACCAAGACATCCTTGATTTGTCTGCTCCAGGAAAGGCTCCCGACTTAGGGCCGTTTCTGTTGCGACTTCCGTTTCGTTTTCCAGCAGAAGCCGGACGAGATGCTACTGTACAGCACAAGCTGAATTAGTCATCCGTGTTAGTATCAAACAAATGTGCAGATGATGTTCTTCTGTCAAATTCTGAACCTCTTCTAGCCTGAGACTCAGCACGTCCGTGCCTAGCTTTGGCGTTGGCATATACTTTGTTCGTGGCATTTGGTGACGGCCGGGTTGCCACATGAATTACTTAGAAGTCAGCCAGCTACTTAGTCAGACGTGAGATAGTCACATAATTCAGTACTGGACATCAATCAGGTACGAAAGGATATCCATATGCTTACTTAGAAATTACACCGTCGACGCCGCTCGGCCGAGCAGCCTCGACAGGTAGAAGAAGACAGCCTGGGAGTGCAGTGCTTGCATTGGGTTTGGAAGGGCAGCTGATTCGTGCCATATCGTGTCAAAATATAGCCGACGCCTAAGAGTGTCGCATGCTGCATGCTGTAGTACCAAGCAGGCAAAATCAGTAGGATCTAGAATCATGCAGACGCCGTGTAAGTCGCTTGGTGCCCTCACTCGCAGCCCAGGATTCTGACCTTGGCAAACAATGACGCCGCCTCAGCGAAAAAACTTGCGCGACGGACACGGTCGCGGTGTAGTGGATGGGTGCATCATTTCGATATTCGAGGATCGAATCCCCATGACTGACAACTGCCGCATTGTGTGCCAGTCTTACTTGCCGGACAACTACCGGACAACGCAACAAACCCACTGGCACGGCGAAAGATGCAGGTTTGAAGTTGAAAGCCTCCGAAACGCATCCCCCGCGACGGTCCGGTCTCTGAGACTGGGTGGCCAAAGATGCGCAACCATTGCTGCGCAGCCTGCAGGTTTCACGTGCAGGTATCATCTTCGTCTCTACGTCAGATCTGGGTGAGGGACCTTGCAAATTCAGCAGACCCCGTAGACTTGCCGAATTCCTTTGTTCACATGTTCAATGGTCGCCGTGGCTAGCTCAGGATGGGAACCGATTGTGGAGTCGTGGTACATGCAGCGTCTGGACATGGGTTTGGGACTCACTGTCACTCCAGTGACTCCGGTGTTGCGTTGCATCAGCTGTGCACGATGCTTATTGACTGCAGCTGAGCCCTGGTGTAGCTATGACAGAATGCTGGGCTTGCGGCTTGATCGTCGATTCGCCCTCCACACCCCCCCCGTCCCGCAATACTTCCGACTAACATCAAATTAACAGGACACAATCAATCACTATTTTCACGCGGTGGGGGCCCTGGCCCAGTCCTGGCAGGGTTTCGGGGCCGGGCCCTTGCCCTGCAAGGCTTCAAGACGCCTGCTGAGGACATAGTGGCGTCAGTGATCTATAGATACCCTTCTTTTGGCTTGGTGATGCGCTTGACATGGAGAAGCCGTTGAGTCGAACATTGCGTTCAAGTTAATTCTATGACTGAGCAAGAAAGCTTGGTTTTGTAAAGACCGGTGTGCTACCGTGCTGTCCTCGTCCATCAGATTCAGGTTGGGCAGCAGTCTACCTGTCTCTAGGACTGATGAAGGCCAACGATCCAAGCGTTAGAACGCAAAGGCAACAGAGCATGATGCATGTACGTATGTAGGCACTACTGTGAAATGCCATATGGCTCCTGATACCGAGCTTATGGAATTTGTTCGTGGGGGTTATGGTCATTGGGAGTCCAGTCTTAGGTTTGGGTTTGATCTAAAGGTCCTTGAGGCAAAATTTGCTTGCAAAGCCAACATATAGCCAAATATGTTTGTGCGAAAGTTCCGATGGTTTCGGGATTTCAAAGTTGTCCAGACTCCAACTCTTTCTTTTACTACTACTACTACTACCACTACTACTACTACTACTACTACTACTACTACTACTACTACTACTAGTCAGAATGAATAGTCACCCGCACATGTAATATAGAAGTGCTTGGAATTCGCAGGAAGCCAAACTCCTGGACATTGTGAACTAGTTTGGACAAGTTTTGTGAAGAGGGTGTGTGGAGGCTTTCGGTGAGTTTACTTTGCTTTCCTTGTTGGGCTTACTTGGTGTTTGTGTTGCTGGAGAGCCTCGATTCGCCCTACAC